CTGATGATAGTCGACTATTCTTACGACTACGACTCTGAGACTTGCATTGTAGACCCCACATTAATGGACCGCCGGGAGTATTTTTCGTCGCTGTCGTCGCGGCGGGGCGAGGCGGGAGGAAGGGGAATAAAATGGTTGCAAAGCGGAGGTGACGCTTATTATTGGCAGCCAAAACTAACGGGGTAATTTTAAGCGTTCAAAGTCCACTTATTTTTGTCGCCGTTCAATCATTTTTAGCAGCCCAGTCGTGTAAACAGCGAGGATTAGAGTTTAATTCGATATATACATATTGTCCGACGATAAAATTGCATCGTCTCCGCGTGATCGGCTCGTTCCCTATGTAATGCAGTGCATTAGCTAAACATTGGCCCAATACAACTAAATATTGGGCCAATGTTTAACCAATGTTTGGTCAATGCGCTGTGCTGTCAGGGTTGTCGTTGTCTCGCCGATTTGTTCCCCTCGTAAGGGACTCTCTTAGGAATTCAGATTGTCCGGGAAAGAGTTAAAGGGAGTTAAAGGGACGCGTCGCGCGCCCTGCAACTTTCGCGGTGGTCCGATAATGTGCGCCGGCTATTTAAACGAGACCCTCTCGTCTTCGTCGGGCGGACCGCGAGGGAATTCATCCCGGACTGTTGTCTTCGGCTGCGCCGTAACGACCCATTAATATTAAGCAGGTGTAAGAGGCGTCTCGGCGACGAGCACGCTCTTTTACCTTCCTTAAACGCTAATGAAAAGCGGTGCCATCCCCATTCTCACTCGAAGCAGCCGAGAGAAGATCATTTTCGTCCCGTCGCCCACTGTCCCCCTCCCTCTCTCTCTCTCTCTCTCTCTCTCTCTCTCGATGGAATTTTTATTCAAACCGAGCGAAAGTTCCTTTCTCCATACGTAATTCGCGATGTCGCGGCATTTAATCCGCCTGTCTGCTAATTTTTGGATCTTTAATAGAAGAAAGTCCCCTCTTACGAGATAGGCTTCTGCAATACAATCAAATATTGGACCAATGTTTAACCAATGGTTGGCCAATGCACTGTGCTACTGGAAATAATATGAGACAGCTGGTTTTCAACATATAATATCCGAAATCTTTTTTCGCAACAATTACACGCGTGATCCAACGATGAATTTTCCACCAAACAGATTTCAGATTTCTCCGAGGACAATAAATTCATGCTGGAACACATGATGCCTATTCGGTAGAAAAAAAACCCGCTATCTCGTATTAGGAGCCTGTCTCGCAATAGGGGACTCCGCTCTAATTTATATTGTTTATTAATATTATTAATTGTTTATCGATAATTTATAGGTTTCAGCGCCCCCCCCCCCTGTACATCCTTCGACGGAAAATAGAAGATCGGGGAGACGAGGCGTGCATAATTAGGCAGGATTGGGAAGTAATTATATAGTTACTTGTAACGAAGTTACAGTTGGTTACGTTTTTTTTGGCAACTCTAACTTAACTTCGTTACTTTCTCTCCATCTGTAACTTAACTCAGTTACATTTTTTCGATAACCAGCAACTAATTTACTACATTAATAGTTACTTTATATACCTTTTAAACCTCCACAGATCTCATTGCGCCTTGCATTTGTGCAAAAACGCCTTTATCGATGCTTCACAATTGAAATGCAGATTTGACGTTTTTATTTTCATTGCAAGGGAGTAACTGCAAAGTAACGATTCGTTACTTTTCGAGTAGCTGTAACGCGGTACTCTTTAGAATTGGCAACCTGTAACTGTAACTAGTTGCATTTTTACCGAAAAAAACTGTGACTGTAACCAGATACTGTTACACTGAGAAAAATTTTCATCGGATAAACCAATTAAATAGTATGTCCGATGGTTAATTTTTCCGATTACGTTTTCCGATTAAATTATGGATATATCCGATGAAATTTATCCGATGAAATGCAATTACCGATGAAATTTCATTGAAAAACCGATCAAATTTTTCATCGGATATACAATTTAATCGGATATATCCGTTTGTTATCATGTAATTGGATTATCCGATTATATTTAATCGGACATTTTTCTCAGTGTATAAGCTAACTTTCCCAATCCTGTTATTAGGGTAGGGTGACCGAATTCGAATCAACAATTCGATGAGTCGCCGATAAGCGACATTAAAACATGTGGATGCCTTTTACGATATCGACAATACAGCATGAAGTTGCAAATATATGAAGGAGCAAAATTTAAGTGAATTACTTGAAAATATTGCTTATTACCCACACAGAAAGTTAAATAATGTTGCGGAAACGTTGCAATGTTGAACGTTAAACTGTAAATATCTTTTCTACGTTGAATCTAGATAAATGTTTGTACATGAATTCTTTATATTGCTGCAACGTTAAAACAATCTCGAACAAATTATTATTTTTTGACACTCAAATAGATACTTAAAAAATGTATAATTATGAAATGTACATACATATATAATATTTTGCAACGGTCAGAAATTTTGTGAGCCAAGATCGAGCTATTATTTTAGTAGAATAATTCACTGTCAGCGCTTCCCACAGTTTTAAAAAATATTCTGCTAAACGCGACCGATGTGGACTCAATATGATTACAATTAGCAATGTTTTCTCAATGTTGAATCGTAACGTTTACAGTAGACACCACAATTCAGCGGACACTAGACGCTTTTGCAATATCTTTTCGACGTTGAATCTAAATTTCGTAACGTCGATGCAATATTGCAATGCTGTAATGGAACGTTTCTGAGATGTTGACTCAACATTTGTGATGCTGTATGGGTTAGCGACTCGTCGAATCTGATACGAATCCGGTCGCCTTACCCTAGACGCGACATAAATTATCGGGACTCACCAACAGCGGTGCACACCCCCACGATCCTCGTTATCGTCGACAGATGAGGCGCGTCGCCCGGCCTTTCGTAGGTGGACATACCGCCGCTGAGACCCTTCGCGAAGTCCTTCGTCTGCTCTATCATGGGACGTCCGATAAATCCGTTTACGCGCCTTTCAACAAAGACCCTTGCCCTGCGGGAATGCGCCACTCGTAATTGCTCGTGCGACCGATTCTTTCGTGGAGATGTTTATAAAAAAAAAAAAAAAACTTTACTGGGGCGCTCTCTCGGGTTTGCCGCGCGCAATCGTGCCCTGAAAAACATTGCATTTTACATCCAACGTTGAAACGCAAATAGCACGAGATGAGGGGGAGAAAAATCTTGCATCAGGATTTGAAAACTTTGGCAAGAGAAGTGTTGGTTGAACATTTATCTGATCAGTGGACGGGTTACTTTTTCTCGAACCGAAGGGACGGACCAGCTTGATGCTGAACTCCGCGGTCGCCGGGAGGACCGTAAAAAACCCGCGTCAGACTCTCCGCGAGTTTTCTACCTCGTTTCTTTTCTCCTTCGTCACGGCGCGCGTCGTACCCGCGTTCTTACGAATTCCCTCGCGACGCACCGACGAGAACCTTCCCGCCGGACCTTGAAATATCCTCCACCGTTGCGAGCTCGCGCGAAACTGAACGTCACGAGCCGCGCGGCGCCGAGGAGGGAAAGCCCGAAGTTGCGCAAACGCCGCCCCCGTTCGAACTTCCTGCGGCTCTGCGCCACGTGCCCCTCAAGGGTGGACGGCGTTGTTATTACAAGAACGCGGGCATATTAATTTAACAGAGATACCGCACAGGCACCCGCCATGCGTAACCTTTGCTATTTTATTCTCTTTTTTACACACGTGCACTCGTTGACGTTGCAATATATTTTTAATCTTAGCGCCACATGACGTTACGGGCAAGTAACATTATTTCACGACGTGATAATCAGTGAGCGCCGACTAACAGCGGGTACTTTCCAGCAAGAGACGCAGACTGACACGGTGTAACACAATTTCATCCTTGTTAATTAATAACAAGGACAAAACGGTTCACTGTGTCACGCGGTGACGCCGGTGTACGTTGCCGGTGAGCGCCCAGTAACGTTACATCAATATTGCAATTTCCTATTAAACAATGTAACTGTTATGCGCAGCGCGCCTTGTATTACACTTGTATAATTGAGTACGAAATTACGACAGCGATACCAAGTTACCGTAAGCTGACGTTCACCGGGAACATACGTGCATAAAGCTATCGCATCGCTGTGGAATTTGGTGGATCAGAGCGATCGCGGGTGTAGTAATGCGACGGTACATTTATTCAACAACAACGTTACTATATTTATTCACATCCAATAAATTTATAATAGTGCGGTATACAAAAATATATCCATTCGCGATAAGCGTGTAGAACACTTGAACAACACGGACGCGTGGTGAGGTAGAACAGTATTACCTGCAGAATGACGGTAATCAAAATAAAACGCCGCGTGTACGCGCGCGACGATCATCTTTCGTAAATACTTTACACGATAAATATATATATATATATACTTCATTTTTTTAAAGCGTTTCACCGTGCTTCAAGCGTCAGCCTGCTGCGCAACCGAACGCGTCAAAGCGGGCATTTTTGTACTCCTCGGCTCGCTCGGGCGTTCTTAAAAAATATATTTCTCGCATGCAAGTGCTTCGAAGCGCTTCTTCCGACTTTTGAGCTTCTTCTCAAAGTCTCTCCTTCGCTCGGGCTTTCTTCTTTTTGCCCCTGGCCACTCTGGGACTGCAGTCCCAGCCGGCCGAGAGCAAGCTGATCTTCGATTGCGCCGGTACGATGTGCTTCCCCTGAATCGCTAAAAAATCGCCGCTACGATCGCGAGTCGCGTGGGCGGATTTCGGTATCGCCGAGCGGGAAATCGGGCTCAGCGGTTTTCTGTTGCAGTGCAGGAGAGCGGGCGACGGTGCCAACGATCTGAAATTTTTTTAATTCAAGAATTATCCTTCGCCCTCAAATTCACCAACTATTTGAAGACCAAACCCAGTCAGAAGTGACACATGTCGATCGACAAGACGTTGCTGGGAAGAAACGTTTTAATGACCAACGCACCCGTTATTTTTGCTACTAGGAAGCCTCGAAGTGTCTATGGGGGCGAGTCGAATATTCTTCGGCCAAACAGTGGGAGATACGGGAGTTTGCCAGGCGGAATGAACGTTCGGATTCCTCAATGCGCCCGACTTTCTCGCGGAACCTTGGAAGCCAGTGTATCGAGCTGATCCTAAAACGTTACATCAACAATTTTTGCGAGCGTCAACATCATTGACATTATTCGACTGATACTCTGAAATAACTCGCTGTCCGTCTACCTTGGCGGGAAGAGATTTCCAAATTCTCGTTCATGAATTTAATCGGGACCATCTTCAAAGTGGAGAAACTTTCCCGCGTGGATACTGTAAAGGGTACGGGGCTCACGACGATCCTCTCGTTAAAAACGGTGCCAAGCTTATTTCTGCCTATATGTGGCGTGCACTCCTCGGACCTCAAAACGTCGTCGTCTGCCGTGTCATCCAAGTTTCTCGGTTTGTTCGCCGAGATCGAGTTCCTCCTGAAAATCAGATCACGTCAAATGGGAAGGAGCGCGTCTCGACGCACCTCACTTTCTTTCGACCTTACTTCTGGACTCCTTGGCGGTTCGCGTCGTTCTTTATTGTCTGAAGGGAGCTCTCCGTGTCCAGCAATCGGTTCCTTATGCTTATGGACTTGTTCTCGATGTAATTAGGCGAGATCGCCTCCTCCGTCCAATTCGCTTTCCTCGAGCTCGAGTTTCTCGACGAGTTTCTGTTTCCATGAACGGGAGCGGGTGCTATTCTCAGGGCGTCGCTGAGATCGTCGCGCGGAGAGTCCGTGTCGCTCTTCTCGCCCGGGAAGAGCTCCGAGATCACGTGTTCCATCATCATGTCGAGAACATCTTCGAACTTGGCTCTGTTCAATTTGTACTGCACGGAATCCTCCCCTTCCTGCCAAGATCGCAAAGATACGATATACGCGCGCAGATTACGTGCCACACTTACCTTCGCCAGAAGACTACGATCTCCGAACAACTCGTCGCCCCGCGGCTCGAGTCTCCTCGTCCTTTTGTCGCCCGAGCCGACGTCGCGCTGCTTACGGTCGCCGTTGCAGGCCGTCGCATTCCTGCCGACTACTCTCAGGAACGGCACCTGCGTCCGCCACTGTATACACTCGTCCAGGGCAGGCTCCTGCAGCAGCTGATCGCCCTCCTCGTGCAGGGTCCGCTCCACCGTCGCCCACTGCTCCTCCAGTCTCTGGGTCGCCACGCCTTCCACCTCCTGCGACCAGGAAACGGACGTTGCCGCGCTGTCGCCGTTGGACGGGACGTCGTCGTCCCGCCAGGACTTCTGCCGCGGCAGGCTGGGCAGCCGGAAGCGATCGTCCCATTCGTCGTCGCGCCCATCGTCGCCCTCGTCCTCCCTAAGTCGCAGCAGGTGTTGCGGGGCCTTTACCTTCTGTGTCAGCGGGCTGATCCTGCGGGGGACGAATACCCGTCACGGTTCCAAAGTCAACTTCCCAAATCGACCATGGCTGCGTTCGGCATTGCAAAGCCGAGGCGCCGGAGGCACCCCTTGCGTTCGTGCGAGCGAGAGAGATGAATGAGATAGAGACAGAGATAGACAGAGAGGGGGGAGGGGAAGCATTCCGATTCCTCGGGCGTGTAACGTAACGCCGAAGGCAGCCAACAAGTCGCTCGGCGACCGCGAGGCAAGCTGTAAAAGGACTCACGCGCTTCTCCTACGGCTGTTCCCTCGCATCTCATGCTTTCCCCCGTGGGTCTCCGCCCCATCAACGAGGTCCCGTCAGCGCCGGTCACCGCGGGTCCGCCGAGAGGGAGAGGAGGAGCTTCACTGACGCCCGCAACGTCCTCGACCGGGGCCGCTCAACGGCGCGGCCGCGTCGCCGCCGCGCCTACCTCTGCCATTCATAATTTCTATTTTGCGCCGTGTGCCTCACGCGAGCCCCACTATCGATCCCGCGGGCGCCCGAGTCGTGACTGAAATATTGACCACGATATAACGGCGGTCGGTCGCGGTGCCCGCCAGCCTCGCCTCCGCCTCTGTGCGCATGGATAGCCCGGGGGAGGCTCGAGAGGGTTCGTTCGTGCCTCGCTCGCGCGGCGTGCATTATTCAGCTGACAGCTGAGACACGGGTGCACATCGATACGCGGATTGGATTGATGCGGACACGTTAACGACCCGAGGGGGGTAGGGGGGGGGGGGAGAAAAACGTAATTCACCTCTGCCGCGGTTGGAGCTTCCTCAATCTACACTCTACAGGGTGTCCCGGCCTGAGGCCAGCCGTCGTCCGCGGGGAGGGGGGGGATAGACTACGAGAGCGAAGCGGAGTCCTCGCTCGCATAACCTGCCCCGAGGTCTCCGCCGCTGTTTCATAATTGAGGATGCGAACTGAATTCCAGGATTTCGAGCGAGTGTTCGTTTTTATTTTTTTTGTACGAATTACGACGGGGAAATTTCTACTCGAAACCGGACCACTTGAGAAATATCCCCCCCCCCCGCACGGCCTGTGATTGATTGGTCGAGTTTAAGTCCCAGTCTACAATAGATGATTTAAG